GACATCATAATCATTGTGAAGAAAAAGAACTTTCTGGGAGCCAGCCTGAAATGTCACCAGTAAATGTGGCTTATTTATTTACACAGCACAGGAAGCTCAAGGAAACTTTTAAAGAATAATGTGATGTTGGAACTGTCAGATGACTAGATGGAAAATCCAAGGGTCAGCCAGCCTTAGGTGGACATGCTGAAACCATCAAAAAAAAAGTGTTAGGAGATGAAGATCTAGGTAAATGCCTTCTTAAAGGAATAAGTTTATCTTATTTTAAAAATATTGGTCCTCAAGCCTTGTCATTCCATAGAAATAAATGTCTGATGAAAACAATATTTTGTTAATGATCACCAGAGGATATGTAATTACTAAAATGACTGGCATGGTGACTTTAGCTTTTGAATTGGCTATTCTTGGGCTGTTTTAATAATTTCAAAGGTTTCTAATGACCTCCCTGTTTAAACTCTTCTGAAATAATTAGCATGGGCCCATTTTATAGATGGGCAAGTCAGAGAGATGACTTGCTTTTGCTTGACTGCCCAGCAAATATTACAATTCTGCCCAAGCTGACATGGCTAGGGCTGGATACAGCTCTCTTGACTGTATCAAGGATAAAGTCTCTTTTCTCCATACATATTCATCTTCTCAGATACCCAGTAAGGGTTTAGCTAAGTACGTTCTGTTAGCACTAAAGAAACAACTGAGTTTTACCTTTAGTAAGTAATAAAAGAAAAATATGGCTTAATTATAGTGTATAGAGCTTCAGTTGATGATACCTTTCTATCCTTAAACCTATACTATAATTAGCTGGGCCCCCAAAATGGATAAAAGAAACCTTATATCAGTTAAATCAGTTGAACTGGTTCATCTGTTTGGCAAATCATATACAGGGATATTTTTAAGGCCAGTAAAGAAGTCTTCTCAGCCTAGGAAATACAATTTAGATTGTGATCATCAAGCACTAAGATTTAAAAAGTATCTCCTATTTCATTAGTGTAAAAAGACAGTTTGACATTTGGGTCATTCTGTCTTTTTATCAACCAGTATACAAAGTCTGCAGTAATCACAATCAGGTGTAGAAATAGAAACGCTAAACAGACATGGCCTGCTTGTGTCCCTTCTGAAAGGAAAATACTGCTAGGTAGAGCTGTTTGTATGAGAAGTTGTAAGACTTACATGTTTCTAAATTGTTGGCTCAGGGTCATCTTGGTAAATGACAAGCTTGTTAGAGGTTCACAAATAGCATCTCTATTTGGTTGCAAATGTTTTTGGCTCTAGCTTATGAAATGAGGGCTTTTGGGTGATCTTTTCCAGAGGCAGTCACCCTGGAGTTTGCCCAGAGAGGGCAGGAGGGATACAGTGAGGGCCGGAAGGGCTGGGCATGGCTACCACAGCCCACCAGCTGTTTGGTCACCTCCTCCCCTAGGAGCAGTTCATCTCTTAAGACTTTCTCTTTGATACTGCTGACCTGAGCCTGTACTGGGTGGGCATTCTGGCTATTAAGTCACCTAGTGTTCTAGGAGACCCAGAAGATACTGTATGATTTCAAACTGTGGGAGCTCACGCATTTGCCCACCTTGGCCTGCACAACTTTAGAGACATTTTTAGACAATGTGAAGCAGACGTGCTTTCTTCCTGAGACATTTCAAAATGGAGGAACCAAGCCTCTACTAGTATGCAGATACCTGACATGGTTTTTAAGTAGAAGCTGAATAGAAACTCTTAAAGTATGAGATAATCAGACTTCAGAGAAACGTGGTTAATAAATCTATCATGTAGGCCTCCAGTGACTACAGACTTCCCAGACACCCATGTATCATATTTCCATGTCTAATTGCCAATCTCTCTAATCACATCTATCACAACTTTAATGTTAGACCATACATTTTTCCAGAAAGAAATGGCTGTCAGTGTCTAAAGAATTGTTGATGGGACTTATATTTTATGATGGATAATGTCAGAGAATTACAGGAATGTATAATGCATGGGGGTTGGGGGGGTACTCAAGCACTCATTGTATTCTGCATATTTCAGGGACACTAAATTGTTGCTTTTTGTAAAAATTGCCTTCTGGTTAATAATTCTTGGTTCTGGTAAACTAATTACAATTCTAGCAATCCAGGACTACTCTGGAACAAATATAATTAAAACATATGATACCACTTTGCTAGTGGATAGTTTCTGATTAGCTTTTTTAAAAAAAATCACTTTATAATTTTTTTCTGACTATGAAGTAATATATGTTTATCATTAAAGAAGCTTTAGGTAGTACCAAAATAGAGTTTTTAAAAAATAAAAATTACCCACAATACATCTATAGATAAGCCCTTTTATCACTTTGTTTATCCTTATAGATATTTTCTCTACTTATATGTACAAAAATATTATATTACATATACAGCTTTTAATATATTTTTAAATATAACCTATCAGAGACATGTTGCCTTGTCAATAAATATAGATCTATGTCCTCATTTTCAATTACTTCATAGTTTAGATGTACCATACTAACCTCTAATTGTTAGATGTTCAGATTACCTTGTAAAGTGGTTACCTTGCAAAAAAATAAGATACTTTTTTTCCTATTGGAATTTTCTTATTTTATAGAGATATACCTATTAAAGTATGTATGTTGCCTACCCCTTCATTGGGCCAAACCCCACCAAACACCTCCATCCAAAGTTTTCACATTTGGGTGAGTCCAAATACAGTTCAGTTACCACTTTATCACAATATGCTAGACATACTGCCAGGTGTTTTATCTGAAATAGCTCGTCTTATCCTGCCAGCCACAATGTCATGTAGATAATACTAGTGTTCTGTACGTTGGAGGGCTTAGAAAGTCTACACCTTGAACATGACCATGTTAGACTGAACCCCAAGATTCTGGCTCTTGTGCTAAGTACTTAACCACACATGTTTTATCCATTTTTTTAAAAATTCTAATTCTTTAAGAATAATTAATGAACAAGATTTTTTGTTACTTGAAAAAATAATTGCACCTTTTGCTTTCAACATTTTTTTGCTTCCTCTCTATAATGGTGTTCATTCTTTTTACCAAGATATTTCTGGAGTGGTGGTTGAATGCTTATTCTCCCTTGCAATGAGGTGCTTTTTCTCAGTGCCCTCACTCTTGGGTATTCTCAAATAACTTACTAGTTGAATTTCTTAAATACATGTACAGATAGAAATAGTGGGGTCCTGCAACTTAAAACAGTTTCTCTATCCAGGATTGGTTTGAATTCAGAATAGCACCGGTATTCATTTTCAGAGACAGGAAATTTCCTTTCCTATAAACAGGTATTTTGGATTGAGATTTGATGGCCTAATTAGCCTTCGACCTTTTTAGCTTCTTGCAGAGTACTATAGATTGCTTCAAAGTAAGAAGTAGGTTTTACTATCCCTTAGGATGTCCTGCTCTACCTGACTTCCCTGAATGGCTCCTCTCCAGTGAAAATGGAAGATAAAAGCCAGCAGAAAATGCTTCTATTTGCTTTTATGGTTCCCTCTTTGGAAGTTAACTGGAATTTTTTTGCTAGGTCATTTCCATGCTTAGGTGATGTTCAGGAAATGCCCTAGGGTAGGACTAACAAAGCAACTTGGAGGTATATTTATATAACTTGCCCAATATTTACATAAAGGATTTTAGATAGCATTTATGGAGCCCTTACCATATTCCCTACACCATAAGTGATAGAGTTTGGCAGTTGTGAAAACTCTGAGTTAGATATGATGACGATGTGGGTGACACAATGGGGTTTGGCTGTAGCCCCAAACACAGTATAACCCCTCCCGAGTCTATCCATTTTGGTCTGTCTTATCCCATGGTGGTAAGCAAATCTTCCTTGGGCCTCAGTTTTCTTAACCTTGAAATACACAGGTTGGAATAGCTGATTTTGAACATTTCTTCCACCCTCTACTCTCTAGGGCACTTATCTTCTGCTGGGCATCATTTGTATCTGTTCTTCTCTTGCCTTTAACTCTATACTTGCTGCCTTTGTCCCCGGCCAACCTTCATTTTCTCCATAGCAGAGTTTAAGCTCTAGGATACCAGAGCAGCACAGAAAGTTCCCGCAAAAGAGTCACAGAGGTCCCTGTGCCCAGAACACTCAGACGCTACAGTCTGTTCCAGACAGGCACTCCTGTAGGGTCACTGGCCTTTGGAGAGCACGCAGAGTGACCAGCCGGCCTCCAGTAGCTCTGCTTGCTTGTGGCATGAGAGAACCAAATGTGAATGGGTTATAACTTATTCATGACTGGAATCTAAAATAGCTTGTTATAACTAATTCACAGCTATCACATGAGTACTGGGGTGCTATTTTTCAGATTCTAAAATTATTACCCTGTTTACACAGGTTTTGTGTTGAGTGAAAAGATAAGTATGCTTTTAATGCCCAGGAACAAAGAAATTTCCCATTTTAAATGGTGAGACCCTTTCCTATCAAAGATACTCCTTTTCTTTTGCTCTAAGAAATGTGGTCCCAAGGATGCTTCTGGCATGTTAGGAAATTATGAGATGAGGTCGTGTTCAAATCAGTGCTGCTGTAGGGCTTTTTGACTGATGCAGTGTAATTCTTGCTGAGATCTCCACTCAGCCTGTACATAATGCAGAAGTTCAGATGTTAATTAGGCAAGGGGATGGGAGGTGGTTTGCCAAGAGCATTCCAGCCAGAGGGACAAGGTATACAAAGGCCCTGTGCTGGGAGGGGCACAGCAGATGTGGGGGAGCAGCGTGATGGAGCCTGGAGCCAGGAGGACCCTGCATGGGATGAGGCTGGGGAGAGCAGGCTGCCCAAGCAGGGCCTCTGCGGAAGTGGGGCTTGACTCAGAGCATCAGAGGAGCGTGACATGATCCGAGTCGTGAGTGAAGATGAAAATGTGGTCAAGCCCTGTGTGTGCGTGCTTAGGAGAAACTAGTATTAGAGAAAAGAAAAGTGTGTGTTTAGAGCGAAACGGATGAGCCTGGCTTTGGTTCTTCCCCATGGTAACACCAAAACTGTTTCCAGCAGCTGGTGGCCCAGCTGAGGTGTCGCATTCCCCAGGAACAGCCTGACTGCTTACTCAGTCCCCGGGGCCCTGTCGGCCTGGCCTTGGAGAAGGAAAGGATGAGAGCAGCCCGAGGATCAGGATGTACGTGTGACTCCAGGGGCCTCATTTTTCCCTGGGCCAGCACAGCTGCTGTATAGAGGCTCTGGCGAGGCCCATAATGCCCACCTCACCCAGCTTCCAGGGATGTTGCAGCCGTTAAAAGCAGGGCACAGTGGTGAGTCTTCCTGCCAACCTGGATGGCCAGGGGTGCCTTTTCAGCTGTCTAACCTGGAGGGGAGAGAGCCGGGGATCCTGCCCCCTACCTGGGCAATGCTGTCCCAAGCCTGGCGCCACTTCCATGCTCAGAGCCTGCTGACTCCCACAGGCTGCTGATCCTTCAGTGTCAGAGCATTTGACGTTCGATGAATACATTTCGGAGAGCATCCGTCTTTCTGCATGGAATCCCCTGAGAAGCTGCCAGGCTCTGGGGCAGCACTCCCTATCATATGTTGTCTCTAGAGGTAGGAGATTGCTGGTTCTCCTCACAGAGGTTTCTTGAGAAGGTGCAACTTCTCAAAGTGGGGGGAGGCACTTTGTGCAGGTGGAGGTAGCCCATAAATAAAATTACTGTGTCATCAATTACACATTAATGCCCTGCAGAGAGAGAAGGACAGTGCTTTTGAATTAGGGTGAGGATTGGACTGGAGTCATTGACAGGCCATTTGTCCTCAGGCAGCCACAGATCAGATTCCTGAGGCTGGCCTCCTGTCCCTTTAGGGACTGTCATTAAAAGCGTGTTATCACCAGATGACCTCGTATCCCTCCCACTCTGAGAAGCTGGCCCAGTCAGGTCTTCAAAACCCATCTCCAAGGATTTGAAAGCCTTCTTTCTAGCATTATGTTTCTGAACATGGAGATTGAACAGTAAATTAACAGAATTGTAATACCTTGTGAGTTTACCACAGGAAAAAATACATATGTGAGTTAACCCGGTAACCTGACTAACAGGTCTTCTGCCCATCCCATCGCCTCCACTGAAGGTCTTTGGGGAGAACGGCTGGCTGAGCTCTGCGTTCATGAGGTGGGCTTGGTCTCTGGCTGCTACTGTGGAAATGACAGTCACTTGGAGCCCATTATCCTCAGCTGAGGGCAGCTGGGGAGAGAAGAGGGCCAGCATCCAGGCTGTGCAGCCTGAGGCTGACCAAGTGAATAAAGCTGCTGAAGGCCCCCAGCAACACTCAGAAACAAAACTGGATTGCCTCAAGACAAAAGGCTGCAATACAAAGGTCCGCAATTTGTAGTATTTGCCCTTTTGACACAGAAAGTGCGGCATTTTGCATGCCATGCTCTGTGGATGTCGTTCTCCATTACTGGTTGACACACAGCTGAGATGGGGTGAATGCCTCTACTCCAGCAGGATGCATTATTCATCAGGAGTAGATGCCCTAAGTTTTGACCTTCATCCATCTTGCTGACCCTTTTAGAAAAGGGTCATGAATCATCCTTCATGTTTCTGACTCCCAACGTGTCTTGGAGATTCTGAATTAAGCCTCTTAGGACCAACTCATTTCTTCCTCCACATTATCTCCACCTCTCAGCTATGTCTCCTTGGCCTAAACAGGCTGTTTCTCTAGTTTCATTCATGTCAATTTATTGGAAAGATTAAGTCATTAGTGATTACATGTCATCAAGAGCTAAGGATAAGAAATTTAAAACATCACCTTTTAAGCTTCAGCAACTCTTTGTTTTCAGGAAATCAGTGATATTGTTATCCTTTGGAGATAATAGAAAATAATTTAGTAATTTGGAGATGTGACTTGTTTCTTTGGACCAAATGGACCTGTCTTGTTCCTTTACATCCAACAGCTGGAGAGTGCCCTGCACAGTGGCATCTCCTCACTAGGGCCTTTGAAGTCCACGGAGAATGGGAGACCCCGGTCAAGAGAAATATGACAGGGTTGAAAACCCCTTGTCTTCTGACTGTCAGAGCTCCAGATGGAGTCATCAAGCTCACTTGGCAGCTGTGCGCATTATATAGTCATACTCATCCTGTTCACTTTCTTCCTGTGACTGCCCATGAGAATGGGAAGCTTCAAGGGCAGGGATTTATTTCTGTAACCACAGTAAGTTAATGAATTACAGATTTAGTACAATTCAAAGTCGCTGATTCACCGAGGCAGTTAGAATTTGAATATTTAAATTATATTTGAGTTTGTTAAATGTAAAATTCACACCACACTATGATTAGAATGGGATGGCTGCAGGGGTTATATTTTACTCCCTCCCTGCTCCTATGGAAAATTAGAGAAGCACTTTTGGGCACACCCCATTTTGTACTATCAGTGTCGGACAAAAACTGTTTTGAAATTTTAGCATATCACGTTTTCTTTGAACAAGGCATGCCTGCAAAGTATGCATCTAAGTGGGAAGCTCATAGGCTCAAAGGCTCCTCAGCCCTGATGGCTTGATGCAACCCTGGTGCCACATGTACACTCAACAGACTGGCATGTGGGCCCACTGGTTTAACAAGTGCTGACCGCAGACCTCCCATGTGCCAGGAACTGTGCAAGGGCTTGGGATACAGCAAAGACCAAGCCTGTAGTTTGTGTGTGAAGGTGAGAGACTGGCACATACCATCACAAGATGGTTGACTGACACTGTGGACAGGCCGTGAAGTGCTGGGAGTGCGTGACCTCGCTCGGTCTGGGGAGCCCAAGCCTCTGGAGGAGAACTTCTGCTGACATGTGGAGGATAAGCAGACATCAGCTCCCAGGGGAGGTGGGCACAAGAGAGGGCCCAGAAGCTCAGTTTCTACAGAGGAGCCCATGAAAAGGCACCAAGGTGGGAAGAGCATGGTCCAGTGGGGGACCTGGAGGCACAGAGGCAGGAGAAGGGCCAGTGAGGGGGTAGCAAGCCAGTTGCAGGCCGGCATGGACCAAACTCGATTCTCAGAGTTCTGGGAACCATGGAAGGTTTTTACCGAAGGCTCCTGTTTCTAATAAATCACTCCAGCTACTGTGTGGAAAATTGAAGCAAGGAGGCAAGAGAGACAGAGGGAGGTTTATCTGCAGCGATTCAGGTGATTGCAATGGTGCCTTAGGAGTGCACATGGAGAAAGGCAAGTGGATCTGAGAACTCCTTTAAAGTAGGAGCACCAAGAGCTGTGGTGGGTTGGAAATGAGAAGGGGGCAAAATGCTCTCGGCACCAGGGGGACTGATTGCCCAGCTGGCAGACAGTGGGAACGCTTCCTGGGAGAGGTGGGACTGTCTGCCCAGGTCCATTCTTTAGCATTTCAGACCCATAAGGTTCCAGGTCAACTTTAAATTGTTCTTTCTCTTCAAGGTCAAGGCCCTGAAACATGGGCTCTGCTTTTGTCCATTAGCTGACAGAATCTCAGAATTGGGTCTGTCTTGCAGAGTGAATGGTAAGGCAACCCCTCTAGGGTTCCATTTCCAAACCCCACCATAGATCCTAGGAATTAATCTTCCAGGTGAGGTGATGAAAGTGCTCAGGTGAGGAAAGTGCTGTGAATGGCTCAGGATTGCTGAGCAGAAGTACAAGCAGTAGCTCTCCTGCAAGCCAATTTGCAGTCCTGCTGTTCCTTCCTTTGGCTTTGGGGCTGTGGAGCTGTCACTGGTCTGCTCTGAGGGAAGGAGTAGGTCAAAGGGGGTCCCTTCTCAGCTGGCTCCTTTGTAAAGCCAGCGTCCTCCTCCCAAGGCCATGTGCTGACACAGTATCGGCTGACACAGTATCGGAATCTCAGGAACTGCGGGCTTCCAGTTAGAAATCAGGGTTTGGCCCAGCGCCCTGTAGAAAGAGAACATGTGGGTGCAGCAGAGAGATGCTTCAGGGTGGAAGGCTGCTGAGGACAGCACTTGGACGTACACACCCTGCCTGCCTGCAGCTGGGTTAGGTAGAACCTGGAGAAATCTCTTGTCTCATAGAAACTATTGCTGGTTGGATTTTGTTTCCAGGCTTTCCCGACTATAAACTGCACTGTGCTGACTGTTCTCACAACTACATCATTTCACCCAAGGTAATTATTTCCCTTTGGTAGATTCCTAGATATGAAGTTGCTAAGTCAGGGGGATGATAAGTTCTCAGGCTGCAGGTACACTTTGCCCAACTGCTTCCTCTAACAAATCACGCCAGTTAACTCTGCCACCCGGCCTGCACTGCCACCACCTTGGTCACTGCTCCATGGATGCTTATGCCTGGCTGGAGTGTCCTTCGGTCTCTTTTCACCCTGTCCCTTTTCAGGATGTGTCAGTGTCATCCCCTTGCTTGGCTTTGTCTGCCGCCTTCTATTTCCTTCTCTGAGTTTCCTAACTTTGCTTTGAAGTGTGGAGCCTGTGGCCTGAGGTCACAGGGAAGCTTTCTCATGTGAATAAAAATGTCATTTTGAAATCCAATTATGAACTATTCTTAGCTGCGGAGGTGGGGCCTAAATATGTCGCTGGTCTTACTGGAACAGTAATTGGTGCTAGCAGCCCAGTGTGGCGTGGGCCTACTGTCATCTCTAGAGCCATCCAACTCCCCATCCCACAAATACATGCCACATCCTGGGAGCCCTTTGAGAGGTGATGTTCCCTCCAGGGAGTGCTCTTTGGCACAGCAAATACAGCAAATTAGGAAGAGGTCACTCTGAAGCTTGTATTATTAAGAATAATTTATAAGTAAATGATCTACATTTCATCCTTTGCATTTTCCAGTGCTGTGCAAGTCATCTTGAATTACTCTGATAGCTTTTCCAGAAAGACTTAGTGACTTCACCACATTTCTTGAGTTACAGTGAAGTAGAGAGAATCCAAGTCCCTGACTGAATGGCTTATGATTGAGCATTGAAGCCACCATGTGGGGGTGGGGGAGGGCAGGGTCTAGGGCCAGACTCTTGCAGTCACCACCTGGCCCCAAGAAAGATGTGGGGCTCCTCTTAGCTCTGTGGCCTCAGGGGGCTTCTCTCTGGAATTCTCCCCATCTCTTTCTTGTTCTCCTGGCTTGGGCCAGCTCTAGACACCATTTCAAGGAAATACCTGCTCCATTTCCCAACTGCCCAGTGTCCCTATAAGGCGGCAGTCAGCACTACCTTGTCAGGGAGAACGTAGAGAGTGACTGTGCCCAGTCTTTTGAAGTTAGGTGGCATATGGGGAGGCTAGGGTTTGAAATCAGGGAGACCAGGATTTAACGTACCCCTCCACTTTGGGATCCAGGTCTCATGCTGGCCACAACCCTGCAAAGCCACGGAGGGCAGTGAGCAGGCAGCAGCCTCTTCCAGCCTAGCACCCGTGACTCTCCTTGTCAAGGCCAGTGACCATGGCCTGTGTTTCCCACAGGTCATCTGGAGGTCAGTATGGCAGCCACAAACCTGGAGAACCAGTTGCACAGCGCACAGAAGAACCTCCTGTTCCTTCAGCGGGAGCATGCCAGCACACTCAAGGGGCTACACGCGGAGATCAGGCGACTGCAACAACACTGCACAGGTGCCCAGAGGCCTGCATGACCTCTGGGCCTGCGAGGGCTGCAGAGAGTGTGTTACCAGGACAGCTTCAGATAGTTGGCTCAGAAGCTATGCCGGGCTTGCTCATGAGACAGAGAAGGGGGTTTTACTCATCTCTGGTGTAGTTAAAACCCCACCACCACTGGAGTCCATTTGAATGCCTTACCTCATCCTCTTTGCCTAATCGATATGTGCCAAGCATAAAGCTATAAAGCCATTTCTTGGCATTTTGAGGACTTGAAAGATCACAACACAGTGGTTAGAATTTCCAGTGCATTTTGGAAGCGATGAGTAAAGTATATTATACAGAGCAAGGTGCTTGCTAATTGTGGGTGTTGGGATGCATTTCAGGGAAAAGGGGTCCCCTATGAACCCTAGGAAGGACAGTGGCCACTGACAGTTTCTGCTGTCCTCATGCTTGCCCCTCATGCTGCCAGGCAGGACTTACTGGCCAATTGTGGGACTCAGTTCTACATTTTCAGAGCTGATGAAATTTTTGAAATCTACGATAACCATACAAAATTAATGTATATGATTTCCTTTTTAGATTTAACCTATGAGCTGATACTCAAAAGTTCGGAACAGACAGGTAAGAACTCCCTCCCCAAAAGTTACTCATGGTATTATTCCTGCTGCGGCCCATGTTGGTGCCATTTGTTTTCACTAGTTACACACTTAGAAGAAAACAGTTTCTATGAAGAGTTGCATGTGTAATCAGTGCTACAAAAAGATGGGAAGGAAGTTTGGACCTTCCTTCATGAGGGACTCTCTGGGGCCAGAGGCATAAGCAGTTTTATTTTCTTTTGGTTGACACATTTGATATTTGGAACATCTATTATATGCTTTTCTGGATTTTCTGATTTTTCTACAGTGAAATGCATTCCTTCTGTAACCAAGAAATAGATGTGATTTAAACCAAAAAGAAAGAAGAGGAGGAGCAGGGTCCCTTGAGCTCAGCACAGGGCCTGGCATAGGGCAGGTGCTCTCAAAATACTGGCTGAGGGAATGATCAAATTGCTAGACCGCCCCAAAGGAGCATTGAACATTTCTATAGTCCCAGAAATGCTTTCCCCCAACCAGAGTCCTCAGGGACCCACCCCCAAAGATATCAGCCTCATGGCAGCTGGGTCAGAGGAAATAGAAACTGGGCCTCTGGGGCCTATTACAAAGAGCTTGCTCCCCAGAACAGGGTGGGGGTTTAGAAAGCATGGAATCCACATTTGAGTTAAAACGGCTTTTCCTATAGAGGCTTCACAACAGCAGTTCTCCGTGAGTGTGTCCAATTCCTTGAGAAAGACATGGACCATTTTCATGAATCTCAGTGATTACCAAATCTTGCTTTTTCCATTTGCCTTACTTGTGTTACAGTCTGCTAAGTGTGCCTCTCAGGAGCCAAGACATCTTTCTGTCTGTGTGTGGTAGAGGAGGAGGCTGGGCACAGGAGCCTACTCTCGAGGCTGACTGCAGAGGCAGGAGCCAGGCTCCTCCTCTGCAGACCCCAGGCCAGGAACTGGGCCTCCCGGGATCCAGGGCAATAGGATGTCCACCCTCAGTCGGGAACCCCAGCCCACATTCCTGCCATCCATATCAGAAATCAGGATGTTCTTACCTCTTTGTCTCTCTTGGTCCGGCTAAGCTGAAGAAACACGATTCTTGACCTGTATCCTCTCCAGGTGATGTTCTTAGCCCTGTCCCAAGGCCGCCAGCCCACCCCACCCAGGCCCTCATCACGGCGGGGGCCGTTAATGACTAGCACGGGTGCCCCGTGTAGAGGCGGCATGCATGCCTCTCGGGTGGTGCTGGTGTGGCATCTCCCCTCGCCAGTGGCAGAATCACTGCTTTACCTCAATGCACATGGAGCTTGCCCAATCCTGGGAAGCTCTAGGGACACCCTAGGTTTGAAAATACAAAGTCTGGATCTCCGCCCTCAGGTTCTGCTTCCAAAAGTCTGGGAGGGGATGTGGGAATTTTAAGTTCACAAAGTGCAGCAGTGATTGAATGCTCAGGCCAGCTCAGGAAATACTGCTTTAGGTGATAAAGAGCAGTTGCTGATACAGCTCAGCACTCATACAGCTTTCTCGGAGAAGGGCTGAAACTTCTAGGAGGATGTGTGTGCAGAGCAGGAGGTGCCACAGCGTTCCCGTGGAAGAGTGGAATATTGGCAAAGCAGGATATGCTGGTTCTCGGGGTGCCCGTCAGCAAAGAGGAGCACTCTAGAGTCTGGGGGAGGAGGGATCAAGCACCGGGCTTCCCAGAGCTCCCAAAAAGTCGGAGCCAGCCATCAGTCTCTAGCTCTGGAATCCAGTCTCCACTGCAGAGCTGTGAGGCAAGTTTTTCACATCTCTGAACCTGTGTCCTTGTCTGAGAGGTGCCCACAAACGCTAGTTCCTGGCCCAACCACCCCCATTGGGCTGCCTGCATGGGCTCAGGCACAGCCCGGGGAGTCTTGCTGAAGGGCTGAACCAAGTCAGAGCCTAAGTGCAGGCACAGGGACACAGCTTGCTGAGAGAGGGGACCTGTGTCAGGAAAGGTGGCAGCCTGGCTCCTGGCCCTCTGCAGCACCAACCTCTGGGCTTTCTATGGGAGACATTTTACATTTGTGTTTCAAAAAAGTGCTTTAAATGGAGCAGGCAGTTAACAAACCACACCTGAGCAGGTGGAGCGTCTGCTGAGGTCTAATATCCTGAAACTGGCTGTTTTAATTTCAGCATTTTTTAAATTTCAGAGACATTCTTTTAGTAATAAGCCAGCTAATTTGGAAGGAGCTCAGAGAACCTGACCTTTCACCTTTGGGGAGGGGAGAGCCAGTTGTATGGGGGTTAGCGCCGAGCTGCTGGCTTCCCTGTGGAAGCAGGATGTCCCAATCCACAGCCCTGCCCTCCAGTGACCTTTGGGCCCCCTCTTCCTCAGCTCACTCCTACTTGGGGAGGCGAGGCCAGCCTAGACAGCACCCCTCCCCACCAGAAGGCCCCTGCCTCTGCTCGGTGGGTTCTTAATCTGGTCCCGGGGCTTGTTCTAGGAGATGGATCTTGCAGAAGCAATGAACTGAAGAAAAGATGTGAAGAGCTGGAAGCCCAGCTGAAACTCAAGGAGAATGAGAACAACGAACTGCTGAGGGAACTGGAGCAAAAAAATGCCATGGTCACGGTGCTGGAAAGCACCATCAAGGAACGGGAGAGGAAGTACCTGGAGGAGTTAAAGGTGAAAAGCCAGAAGCTGACTATGCTGTCCAGTGAGCTGGAGCAGCGTGCCAGCACCATTGCCTATCTGACCTCCCAGCTGCATGCCGCCAAAAGGAAGCTCATGAGCTCCAGTGGGACCTCTGACGGCAGCCCATCTGGGAGCCCCGTGCTGGCCAGCTACAAGCCGGCCCCCCCCAAAGACAAGCTGCCTGAAACACCCCGCCGCCGGATGAAAAAGAGCCTCTCAGCCCCCCTGCACCCAGAATTCGAAGAGGTCTACAAATTTGGGGCTGAGAGCCGGAAACTACTTTTGCGGGAACCAGTGGATGCCATGCCCGACCCCACGCCATTCCTGCTGGCCCGGGAGTCAACTGAGGTCCACCTCATCAAAGAGCGACCTCTGGTCATCCCCCCCATCGCCTCCAACCGCAGCTCCAGCGAGCAGCACAGCCCAGCCCGTGAGAAGGCTCACAAGGCTCACATTGGGGTGGCACACCGCATCCACCATGCCACCCCACCGCAGGCCCAGCCCGAGGTGGAGACGCTGGCGGTCGACCAGGTGAATGGAGGTAAAGTGGTGAGGAAGCACTCAGGGACGGACAGAACTGTGTGAAGCCTGCCCCAGGCGAGTCTTCACCCTGGCTGTCCACGCACTGTGATCACTACTGGGAAACACTCATTCGCGCCTTTTTTTTCCTTTAATTCCCATGCATGCCAAATTTTTTTCAGACCTGTCAACAGATCTCTTATCTTCCTGCTCCTATTGTCCACTTATTGACACCAAGTTATGATCGTGTCCCTGCTGCAGAATACATATCTACTAATTGCTGTGGCCAAACACCTGTGTGACAAATCGCTTGCTTCTGATCCCACTCTGTGTAATCTAAATGTGCTCATGGACAAAGCACAGGCCTCACGCTGCATTACTACTCCATGTTAATAAAATCAAGCCTTGACCCTATCCCTCCGGTTTCCAGGACAGCCTATCCGAAGCAGCCCCTGCTCCCTCCTGCTGGAGGCCCCCTTAACCTCCTACCTATCCTTTCCCAGGGCGGCACCAATAACCAAGCAGCTGTATGTGTCACAGGAACTAAATAAGATGACGTTACTTCTCATATCACCACAACCTGAATGTGTGTTCATATTTTTTGTTTTATCCAAATGTTCAAGATCCCAACAAACTTTATTTTCTAAGCCTGCCTTCTTTCTGTTTTGTGTCCTTTGTTAAACCTCCGGTGGGAGACTGTAGGAGGGAGGGAAATAGCAGGCCCCCTAGTAACTCCCTCTCTCCCAGTGTTCCCACCCCAGGCACATTGGAAAAGAGGAATCCTCTGTTATATCTCACTGCCCAGAGCTATCCTTTAGGAATGTTTTGCACTTCTAAAGGTTCTGGCAAAAGCCACTTTTGCCCACAACTAGTCCCCTGCTAGTGCTCTCAGCCTTACCCACCCTTGAAGAGTAAAGCCACTGCTCACCTCCAGCTGGGCCAGGACAGGGTTCCAGGCTAGGCCCATGGTGCACAGAGGGAAGGAGCGCCCAGTAGCTGCCTGTTCTGAAGGTTCTAAATCTACGCACAACCCCACACAGACCCAGCAAGTTGGGGGTAGGATAGGAGCTCATACAGGAATTGAACCCCAAGCTCAAGGGCCTCACCCACACACTGGCAGGCCAGAGCCAAGGAGCTGGGCCAGAGAGGAGTGGCTGTGGTGACTGTGGCCACCTCTGCTCTGTGCCCAGCATCACCAGCCCAGGGAAGGGGGCTCTGCCTGTTCCCAAAAACAGCCTTGGTCTTCTCCTCACACCTCAGCAGACAGCTTTTGCCAAAAAAAGGCACCTGCAAAAACAGCCCCGGATGTCAGAACCATGCCTTTGAGATCTGATCTTAGAGAGCTCACTTGTGCGAGTGACATGCCAGGCACTTTTGCCTAATCATGTTTCCTCTGAGAAGGAAAAGACGCCAACACATCTTAAAATGCTCTCTAGTATTTACTTTTCAAACACATAGAATCCTTAAAAAATTGTTCAGAAAACAAAACAATTCAGGTTAATTTATATGAAAAGAGATTTAAACTGCCAATTTCAAATGAAAATCAGTGTCAATCCCCCTCTTGCCTCTTGAGAGGCCCCAAGAAGTGACAGGAGACTTGATGGTTCTTCACAAGCACCCCACATTTCCATTGCCAGCCATGGGCCTAGAATCCATAATGCAGTTTTCTTCACCCAGAGGGTTAATCAGAGTTCAGGGTGAGGCATACCCCTTGCAGTACCCAGTGAGAAATGTGCTTCGTGGTGAAGAGATCGGCTTCAAAAACCAAGCCAACTCCCATGGCATTCCTTCTCATGGAGGTGGTGTAGACAGGTGTCCGAAAGGTTTTCTGCAAGGACAGGCATATGAGTTGCCCCCATGGGTTGAGGGAAGCCCTCAGTACCAGAAAGGGGTGCAGCGGGCCCTCCTGGAAGGCGTGGCTGAGGCATTGCATGGCAACTCTCCCCTAACTTAATGTAGACAGGGCTTTCCACAGACACACTTGCTAAAAGTGGGGCTGGGCAGGCCAAGCAGGAGGTGCCTGCAGTCCACACCATATACAACTACTTTATAATTCAAGCAATGTCCTAGGAAGGGACAAATCTCTCCTGAAGACAGACTGGACCACAGCTTCTGAACTTGATCTGCCACCTGGGGCAGTCTCTGCAGACACACATGTGCCTGTGCATTTTCCTGGGAAGTGGCTGCATGCTTTTATCACGTCTCAAAGGCTTCCCCCACCTGTGAAAGGCTAAACAACCTGTTCTAAAGGGCAGGACTATTTGAATTGCCCTGTGTATAACCAGGAGAAGGAAAGAAGAGGGGAAAGGAGAGTGGGCAGCAGCATTGTACCTTCAGTTTGAGGCGATGGGATTCAATGGCAATGATCTTCAGGATGGGCAGGTCAACAACCAGCACCTTGGGTTTGCTCTTGATAAGACATCCTTTGTCTATATCCCAGTCAGCGCCTTCTAGGTACAGTCCTGAGACAAAGCATCCTAGAGATACCAGGCAGAGACCCAGGGTTCACACAGAAGCACCTGTAATTCTGCCGTGCAACAGCTCTATCAGATGTACATACTGAACAGAAAGGTGACTGACTGGCTCTCCTTCTCCAGACACAGCCCAGGCCTTTTTCCAAAAGAGGTGGGCCTTATTTTTTCCCTGTCCACCTTCCCTTTTTTGAGGAACAGCCTAGACAGGACACTGCAGACCCCATGGCCCTCCTCATGCCCTTGGTGAAATGGATGAGGGGTGGTCACCTTTCCTAGCAATTTGGCATCAATGCACACAGACCCAGACCACCATGGGTCCCCATGCTAAAAGGACAAAAGCATCAGAGCCAGCTGGCACCACAGTGGTCCCATGTCTCCCCTTGCCAGGGTGAGTAGGAAGCAGGAAGTTGAAGTCTGGCCAAGAAAGTGGCCTCTGGGGAGGTAGACATGGCAAGCATGCAGAGTGGCAAGGGACAGGCTTCTGGCCCAGAAAGAACAGCAGCCCCAACACCTGCTAGTTCCTCTGGGATCTCACTGGCCTTCCTGTGAGCATTCGTGATTGTTCACCAGAATCGCCTCTCTCTAAGCTAGCTCAAGAGGACATTTTTCTGCTTGCAGTTACATGTCCTTTAAAACAGCATGGCCCCAGGAAATGGCAATTTCCAGCTATAGTTTGCATATCAGTAACCACTGTCTAAGGGCCTTGGAAGTTACAGCATAATTTAGTGTCCATCCTGTTCTCTGGCTCCCATGACTCTGGCCCCTCAAGGTTTTCAGGGAAGCCACCTGGGGACCCAATTCTTTCAAGATCTAATTCTGTCCTTGGAGACTATTTCCTACAAACGAGCAGGGTGACTGTGGTTCAGGGCCCTCCTGACATCAACCCCAGGTCTCAGCAGAAACTGGAAAAAGAAACCTCTGATACCAAGACATGGGTAATGCACGAACAACCAGTGTTTGCAGCACCCAGACTTCCAAGCATGGCCTGTCCTATTTGGCCCACGCTATGCTTGTCCCTTTGAATTGGGGATAGCTCAGGGAGGGAGCCCCTAAATGAAAGGCTTAATCCCTAATGAGCTGACCATACCTTGTCCTGCACGCTCATTCACTTCATCTGCATCTTGGAACTTGGTCACTTGCGTGAACAAGGTGCAGTGGTCCAGCGGCCAGCCGTTCTTCCGGCAGGTGGCCTGCACCAGGGCGGTGAGGTAGGATTCTGGGATGTGCAGCCCTGAGAGCCACATCACACTGGGCTCGCTCTCATTGACCTGGAGAGAAGGGAGGGCAGCTGGTGGGAGCCTGGGGCTGCCATCAAATGCCAGGGTCAAAGCCAAGGGGAAGTTCAGTTCATGACAAAAGATGTAATTCGCATATTTGCATAGTGGCAAAAGGATGGTGTTGGGACAACCAGCAGCCCATTGGGAAACACAAGTTGGACCACCCAATTCCAGATGGAGCAAAGATTTAGATATAAAAAAATAAACCCACAAAGTACCAGACCAAGTCACCAATGAATGCTGTCATGACCCTAGAGTGGAGACTCCAAACCCAGAAGCCAAAAAGACTGATACATAAAAATATAAAACTTCTCTATAGAAACAAATACTACAAAGTCAAAAGATTTAATGACAAGCTGGGGGAAATATCTGCAACACCAGCAGACAAAGGGCTCATTTCCTTCTAGACGTGGAACTCTTAAAAATCAATTTTAAAAGATGGAGAATGCAATAAAAATGACATCTAGATACAAAAAGAGAATTCAAAAAGCACAAAATGTCTGTAAACATGAATATATACTCAGCCTCACCATAATTAAAGAAATCCACATACAAACAGATATTATTGTTTACATATCAGGGAGAAAAGATCCAAAATATTAAGAACACCCAGTGTTGCAGAGAGGTGGGGAAATAATCATTCTCACAGAGTGTGGTTTCACCTTCTCTAGTAAACCATCTGACAAGCGCTGTCAGAGTTGAGAATGCATGTGCTCTGATCCAACTCTTCATTGTAGGAAGCTACCCACAGAATATACTCATGTGAGGAGGGAGGAACGGAGGGCCCAATGGTCACCCCTTAAATGTCCATCAGGGGCAAAGATATGGAATATCTGTAAAATGGAGAACCTAAACACAAATGAAGTAGATCTACATGTACTTAAACCATCGCCAAGACAGACTCTTAAGATGGAAAACTCAAGTTGTGCATAATATGCTTCAGTCTTAAAAACAAGAAAAGGAAAAAAAGATACAGGCATGCCTGCAAAGTCAGAGCCCATCTGTACAGCACCCAGGTGGCCGCCAACAGAGGGTGCCACTGCAGGGTGGGAGAGGGGTTGCGAGGCAGCTGGCGTCGCCCAGGCTGAACCGTGAGCCCACGAACAGCCTTCCTCCCACTTACCCATGACGAGTACTGGCTGAGCCGCCGCAGGAGGTGGAGCATCCAGTTTCCAAGGGACTTTAAGGTATCAGGGGCAAGTTTTCTCCAGATAAGAGGGATTTGCCCAGTAAAAAGAGACCTTGCTACATCATCTAACTCATTGCTCATTCCAACTTCTCCAGCCAAGGCCTGTTTACAGAATCACAAGCAATCAGGCACAACTGTCACAAAACCAGGTGCCACATGTAGGTAGTAATCTGCACATGAGGGACACTCTCACCCTCTGAAGTTCAGCCAGAGACTTGGCCATCCGCACAGCAAGCTTGTTGAAGCGCTCCAACTCTTGCAGGAGCACCACTGAAGTGGGGGAGATTCCGATCCCCAGCTGCTTCCTGACCTGGTCCAAGTCAAAGACTTTGGGCATCTTGTTTTCTATGTCCTTGGCCACATGGCCAATGTAGTCATCTCGGCTGATGCCACTGCTGGATTCCCCTGAAACCAGGTACTTTTTAGGAACCCAAGGCATCTGGGTACAGGACTTAG